AAAAAAAAAGAAAATCTCTATAGAAATGTCATGATTCCATGTCTTTCAGCATGAGATTTTAGGTTGTTACCAGTAGACCGCATGGCTCCAAAGTGAAATTTTGCTCAAACTGGGCATTAGGTATATAAAGTATGTTTTTCTTAGATATTGTATCATTAAACTGAACATTAAACAATTATAAATGGAAATCCTTTTGATAGGCAAATGTTTGAAAGATACTTCGATTGTTATTCCCATACAATTCATTCTGCGTTGCTCTCTGGATAGGATATTTATTCAGACCTTGTTGGAATAGTTTTGACAGCTTTTACTGCACCTTGAATTACTTCAACAAACATGTGGGGGTTGAGTTCAGATAAATTTAAAAGCCAGTTTTCTTTCTGTACTCAGTTTTATCATAGTTCTGTATAAATATTAATTTTTAAAATTATATTCTTATTGAAAGTGCTGATTTGTTTCTTGGTAGTTTGTAACTTTCTTGCTAGACTTTAGATATATTCCATTCTATAAGGTTATTCTTTGAGGCCATACATATTCATTAAGTGGGTTTTATTCATTTTTAAAATGTAATGAGTTTTTTTTTTTTTTTTTTTTTGGACAGAGTTTCACTATGTTGCCTTCAGTCGAGTGCTGTACCATTACAGCTCACAGCAACCTCAAACTCTTGGGCTTAAGCGATTCTCTTGCCTCAGCTTCCCAAGTAGCTGGGACTACAGGCTCCTGCCACAATGCCTGGCTATTTTTTGGTTGGAGTTGTCATGGTTGTTTGGCAGGCCGGGGCTGGGTTCGAACCTGCCAGCCCCAGTGTATGTGGTCAGCACACTTGCCACTGAGCTACACGCACTGAGCCAATGTAATGAGTTTTTAAAAACACATAAATGCGTCCCATAAATGTTTGTGAAACTGAATAGAACTGAATCTCTGTGTGTATAGGTAGTTTTAATGTGTTAACTATAGCTATTCTGGCCATTAAAGTTCCATATTTGGAGGCTTTGATTTTTGGAATTCTTTTTACAAATTTGACCACCCTAGAAAGTGACTCACTTTCTCCTTAGACATAATCAGTCACTAACACTCCAACTATTAAATGCCTTTTTAATAAGCAAAGGAAGTTACCTGGTGTTTGAGAAATATGGCTTTCGTTCAGGCTTATCTTGGTTGGGCAGTGATCTACACTTGTTTCACCTTTAGACAGCCTTACCTTTGGGGAGAACATATATTAATAATAAAGATTATTTCCACATTTCCTTAAAGTATCCTTGGGCAATTCCTCCCTGTCTTTCCTTATGGCTCCCAGATTGAAGGAAACCCATCTCCCTCGCTCTCCCCTTTCCCTTGTCTCTTTCAAATTTGTAGTTGCTGTTTCCTACGAAAAGCACCTAAAGCCCATTTTCCGAACCTTGCCACAGAAGGGAGCTCACCCAGGGGCACATTTTCAAATCCCAAATTCTCTTGAGTCATTTTATTCCTGAAAATATCTTGTATTCGATTCCATAATATATCCTTATTAGTTTTAATATAAAACAAGGACTTATTCCTAAATCTCTCTTATTCCTTAAATCTCTCAGTTAAATGAAACTCCGGGAGGTTGCACAGGGACCTTGCGTCCACTTGGCCACCTCTGGCTCCCCCCTGGGACACACAGGCTGGGAGTTGCAGACGCGGCCCTGGGCCTGCACCGCACCCTGGTGGCTGGAATGAGAAACTGTCACACTTTCCATTTTGCCCTTACAGCCGCTTTCTCCCTCTGGGAATTTGTCCACATGCCACACAATTATTCTTAGCTGAGTTTCTATTGATATGTTTGAACTACTCACGGCTCAGGAAGTCCTACCCCAGAACAGTTCTAATCCTCTCTTTCCAATTTTTTCCTAGTTACTTTGAGAATGTTCTCATCCCTCCATGCTCTCTCTTCTACAGAGAATAATAATGTAATTTGTGTAATACTTGCAAATGAAAAGTGTTAAGTTTGGAATTAAAATTAGACATTCTAAAGAGAGAGAGCCATCAGCGCCAGAAGTCCACTCCTACTTTCCATACTTATCTTATCCGTAGCCATATTTTTCTCAAACTAAAATTGCTTTTCTTCAAGTTCTGTCATTATTTTTCATTCAATTACTTTTCAGATCTGTTTGGTCATAGCTTTTAAAATAATACTGGTGGCTCAGCGCCTGTGGCTCAAGTGGCTAAGGCACCAGCCACATACACGTAAGGTGGCGGGTTCGAATCTAGCCCAGGCCCGCCAAAACAACAATGGTGGCTGCAACCAAAAAAAAAAAAAAAATAGCTGGGTGTTGTGGTGGGTGCCTGTGGTCCCAGCTACTTGGGAGGCGGAGGCAGGAGACTCGCTTGAGCCCAGGAGTTGGAGGTTGCTGTGAGCTGTGATGCCACAGCACTCTACCCAGGGGGTTAGCTTGAGGCTCTGTCTCAAAAAAAAAAAAAAAGAAAGAAAAGAAAAGAAAAGAAAAAAAATAATACTTGTACCTTTTACTACCACGCAAAATATGCAGAATTTTGGCTACAATAGCAGGCTAAATTAGCTTTTCTCTGTTAACCTGAGCTTTGACTAATTTGCAAGTAACCGATATGCAACTGAATAATTATTACACAAACCGTATGTAAGTTGTAGCTTGCTTATCCGTGAATTATCAGTCTTGAGTTCACAATGGTTTTGATTCTGGCTTGATCTTGGCAGGTATCAAAATAATAATTTTACACCTTGGCAGGTATAAAATCAAGGAATTTATTGGTTGAATGAATACGTAAATTATAAAGTCTTGCGTTAATTTGAGCTGCTCTACTTTTAGAGTGTGTGTATGTGTATGTCTATGCAAATTATATAGTGTATGTATGTAAATAGAAGCAATTAAATGCCACTTTACTTACCTTGGCGAGAGGTTTCCAGGAGAGATCTAGATGCAAAAACGTAGATGGCACATCGAAAGGAATTTCAATAACTTCCTCTTTCTTTTTCTCTGCTGTTTGGGGGAGTAAAGCTTTCTGTGGTCTAATATCCCAAAAACATACTGTGCTGAAAAAAAAGTTTGTAACTTTTTTATTAAGTATGAATAAGGGGTGTAACCTCAGAACTACCAGAAATACTTCTATATATGAGCAATGTGACCATTGCTCTATTTCAATGTCTCTGAAAGTAAGATTTTAATGAAATGGGACACTTGTGCATATTCTGCTTTTGAGAATGGTTCTGTTTATAGGTTTTTGTAAGACCCTCCTTCATCCCAGGACTAATAATATTTATGAGAAATGAGTTTGGGAAGTTATGGATATAATTTTTTTTTTTTTAAGACAGAGTCTCCCTTTGTCACCCTTGGTAGGGTGCTGTGGCATCACAGCTCACAGCAACCTCAAACTCTTGGGCTTAAGCAATTCTCTTGCCTCAGCCTCCCTGATAGCTGGGACTACAGGCACCAGCCACAACACCTGGCTATTTTTTTGTTGTTGTTTGTAGTTGTTATTGTTGTTTGGCAAGCCTGGGCCGCATTCGAACTTGCCAGCCTTGGTATGTGTGGCCAGTGCCTTAGCTGCTGAGCTACAGGTGCCGAGCCATATATATAATTGTTTTTATATAACAATTTTGAGATATAATTCGTATTCTACATAATTCACCCAGTTAATTAGTATAATTCAATGGTTTTAAATATATTTACAGAACTGTGTGGGCATCACATCAGTTTTAGAAGGTTTTCATCACCTCCCCCAAATGTCCCCCAATATATTTGTGGTTACTATTCATTAGTAGTTTCCCCCAAGCCCTTCCAGCAACCTTTAATAATATATTTCCTGCTCTACAGATTTTCCCATGCTGGACATTTCAAAAATGAAATATGTGGACTTTTGTGACTGACTGCCTCTTTTCACTTAGCATAATGAAAAAAAATAACCACATTAAAAAGTGGGTAAATGACATGAACAGGCATTTTCAAAAGAAAACATGCAAATGTCAAAAAAAAAAAAAGAAAAAGCGTTCAACATCACGAATCACCACATAAATGCAAATTAAAACCACAGTGAGAGCCCATCTTACTCCAATTAGAATGACCATTATTGAAAAGTTAAAAATCATAGATGCCGTCCTGGATGCAGTGAAAAGGGGACATTTATACACTGTTGGTGGGAATGTAAAGTAGTACGACTTCTTTGGAGATCAGAAGGGAGAATTCTCCTATTTTTGAGGAGCCACAAAACGCACATAAAATCAGGAGTTTTAATTTGTTACTCCAAATCTCATGTAGAACAGCTTTGTATGTTGCGGGGGGAGTCGTTGATAAAAAAATGGAGATTTCTCAAAGAACATAGACCTACCATTGATCCAGCAATCCCACTGCTGTGTTTCTGCCAAAAGGACAAGTCATTATAACAAAAAGGTACCTGCTCTTGTGTGCTTATCTCAGCACAACTCACAACCCCAAAGATATGGGATCAACCTAAGTATCCACCAACTGATCAAAGGAAAAAAAGAAATGTGGTGCATTTGTATATACTATACAACGAAATCAAGCCTTTTGCAGCAACTTGGATGGAATGGAGGCCAGAATCCTAAGTGAAGTAACTCACGGGTGGAAGAATGAATTGCTGCGAGTTCTCACCTATAAATGGGAACTAAGAGGTGCCTGGGCAAAAACACACAGAGTGGTAGAAGGGACACTGGGGACTCAAAAGGGGGAGGACGAAAGCAGGTGAGGGATGAAAAATTCCCCATGGGGTACACTGTACTTTAATCAGGTGATGGGTTTGAAAGCCTGGATCTCACCACTATTCAATAGTACACACATGTTATAGGATTCCTTGTGTTTACCCTAGTTGGATTAAAATTTTTTAAAAACAAGCTGGGCCTAGTAGCTCATGCCTGTAATCCTAGCGCTCTGGGAGGCTGAGGCAGGTAGACAGATTGCTTGAGTTCAAGAGTTGGAGTCCAGCCTGAGCAATAGTGAGACTCTTTCTCTACTAAAATAGAAAAAAACAACTAGTCTGGTATGGTGGTCAGCACCTATAGCCCTAGCTACTCCAGCAAGAGGATCTCTTGAGCCCAGCAATTTGAGGTTGCTGTGAGTTATGCTGCTGCTACAGCATTCTACCCAGGGCTACAGAGTGAGACCCTGTCTCAAAAAAACAAACCAAAAAAACAAAAAAATTGTTTTTAAAGTATTTTTTTTTTTTTTTTTGAGACAGAGCCTCAAGCTGTCCCCCTGGGTAGAGTGCCATGGCATTACAGCTCACAGCAACCTCCAACTCCTGGGCTCAAGCGAGTCTCCTGCCTCAGCCTCCCAAGTAGCTGGGACCACAGGCGCCCGCCACAACGCCCGGCCATTTTTTGGTTGCAGCCGTCATTGTTGTTTGGCGGGTCCGGGCTGGGGATTCGAACTTGCCACCTTAGGTGTATGTGGCTGGCGCCTTAGCCGGTTGAGCCACAGGCGCCGAGACTAAAGTATTTAGATTAACAAATTGCAACTCAACTAAGACTAACAAAATTGTTATTCATTTATATAGTTTAATCAATGTTAATCATTTGCTCATCTCAATGAATAAATGGTTCAAATATAAAAATATTAATAATTTGTAGGTTGTCAAAACATAAATCCTTGAGAGAACTGCATAAGTGACCTATGAAGGTGCCCACAGTTGGTTTAAAATTGTTTTCTAAGATTATACAGCTCTTATTGGATATTATTCACAGCATTTATTCATGAAATGGCATTGCTAAATACAGATATCATCAGCTGAACTTCCTATATAAGTCAGTTATACATTCTTAATTAATGAAAATTTATTTTCTTATACTCTATATTGTAAGATCCTTATAGCTGAAGTATAAAGGTTAGGACTGATAGAGTTCTCTGGTTAGCTTTTCTATAGATGCATAAACTTTATTTTTTACTTTAACAACTTTTGAAAGAAATGTTTCCAGAACATTGCCATGTTTATATGATCAATCATCTAAAATTGTCATTTAATCAACCAACCTCCTTCTTTTCAAACTTGAGGGCCATCATTTGTAACTAACCAAGAACCCATGTCTATATACTTTCAAATATTCTCTCCAGGCTCGGTGCCTGTGGCTCAAGTGGCTAAGGCACCAGCCACATACACCTAAGGTGGCGGGTTCGAATCCAGCCCGGACCCGCCAAACTGCAATGACGGCTGCAACCAAAAAATAGCCGGGCGTTGTGGTGGGTGCCTATGGTCCCAGCTACTTGGGAGGCTGAGGCAGGAGACTCGCTTGAGCCCAGGAGTTGGAGGTTGCTGTGAGCTGTGAAGCCACAGCACTCTACCCAGGGGGATAGCTTGAGGCTCTGTCTCAAAAAATAAATGAATAAATAAATATTCTCTCCGGCTACGGAAGAGCAATATAGTTTTACATTTTGTTTACAATAAAGGCTATATAGCATAAGCATTTCCATTTTAATAGTTGCATTAAATTCCATACGACCCTATAGATGATAGGTTTAGATGTGTTGTTTTTGCCTGGGAGACAACAACCCTCTTTTCTTTGGCCAGAGTATTCTCATTGTTGTTCGGGGACGGTCCCTTCCCCGTTGTCTGCAGTCAGGCTGGGATGTGGCTCTCTGCCTTGTCTTCCCTGCTCATGATGCAACACAGGCCACACAGACCCTTTCCAGTCACTCCGAATCTTAAATGGAATGACACAGGGGTTGGAGCGGATTCATTCAGAGGGAAGTGGCTGGCCTTTCATTCCTGCTGCCCAAATCCCTGGGGCTCTTTCCAAGGTCTGAATCAGCACTTCCTTTGCTCCAGCAACAACATGGCTTACAAGCTGTTGACTTAACTCATTGTATATATGGGGGGCTATTGGTGGAATGTATGTTCCCCTTCAGAGCCTTATTTCCTCTGGCCATAGGTATAACTCAGGGTTGTTGTGAATATACAAATAGTTAACCCATTAACGCACTCAGTAGAATTGGTATAAATATCCAATACATTTACTGGAAATAAATGTATCTCTTCACTTTCCGCTAGCTACAGTTTCTGTTGCTTGTACTCAACAGACTCTTCTGTAATACGTGCCCTTGGGATCCCATCATACCTCCCACCCCTTGCCTTGGCTGCTGCTGACATCACTTGTACCTTCTGCCAGTCTAGAGTGGCTTCTGTGGCCTAAGGGGTCATTATTTCCATTGGGGTCAATGCTGTTTAGAGTGGCAAAGTTTTACCAGTACTTGGATGGTGGATCAATAATATTATCCTTCTTAGTTCCTATTTCATTGTGGACTCTTAGTGCTGTAAATTGGGAGATGTAACTTTATTTAACTGAATATTCTTTAATATAGCCACCAAGTTGTTTATGAAAACACTTTTTATAAGTATACAATAAAAATGTAAAAACTCTTCTACTTAAAGATTTCCTGCAATTAAATATTATAATCTTCATAATTGTTAGATTAAATTGAATATAAATAACATAGATGGCAAATTTACAAATATGAGAATGTGAAGAAACAGAGTAACTATGGGTAATGCTATGCAACATTCTCAACCACGAAGCCTAGTTTGCTTGAGATCGTGTCTCACTCCATTGCCTTGGTAGAGTGCCTGGGCATCATCATAACTCACAGCAGCCTCAATCTCTTGGCTCAAGCTGTTCTCTTGCCTCAGCCACCCAAATAGCAAGGACTAAAGTTGCCTGCCACCTTGCCTGACGTTTTCCATTTTTAGTAGAGACTGGAGTCTCACTCTTGCTCATGCTGGTCTTGAACTCCTGAGTTTAAGCAATCTCATCCCCCTCCCAGCTTCCCAGAGTGCTAGGATTGCAGGTGTGAGCCACCATGCCTGGGCTAATTCTTCTTTTAATAACATAATCATTTCTATGAGAGGATTTTTTTTTTTTGAGACAGAGTCTTACTTTGTCACCCTCAGTAGAGTGCCATGTGCCATGGTGTCATAACTCACAGCAACCTCAAGCTCTTAGGCTTAAGTGATTCTTTTGCCTCAGCCTCCCAAGTAGCTAGGACTACAGGCACCTATCACAACGCCTGGCTATTTTTTTGTTTGTTTGTTTTTTAGAGACAGGGTCTCGCTCTTGCTCAGGCTGGTCTTGAACCTGTGAGCTCAGGCAATCTACCCGTCTCAGCCTCCCAAGTGCTGGTATTACAGGCGTGAGCCACCGCACCCGGTCAAGGAAAGGATATTCTTAAACTGGCAATAATCCATAACATTCTGTCCTTTAGTTATATTTAATTTAATGATAAAGATTATTTAAGTAGCAGAAAATGGCACTGATTTTAGGAGCATCTAAGGAAAAAGAACATATTGTATAAAAACGTATTAGGAATGTTTACAGTAAGACATACCAATCTGCTGAACACGTGACAAGTTGGCAGCAAATTCCATTTCGATTTTCAAAGACGGCGCCCATTCTGTTAATCTGTTTTTTTAATGCAAGAAAAGTAAATTCTGTGTGGTTAGAAGAGTAACATTTTTTTCTCATAGCTATTCACCTTTAAAATTTTTTTCTTCTTTGTTTTAAATTTTAAGAAAAAAAGCATACCACTATCGCAGAAGTTGCAGGACTAGAAGGTTTTAAAAACAAAATACAATTGTGCCATATATTCTTTGTCCATTCTTTTGTCACAGAAATATTTTCACGTAATTTTTTTGTTTTTTGGAAGCAGAGACTCACTCTGAGGCACCTGGCAAAGTGCCTTGGTATCATCAGAGCTCACAGCAACCTCAAACTCCTGAGCTCAAGAGATCTTCTGCCTCAGCCTCCTGAGTAGCTGGGATCATAGGCACCCATCACAACTCCTGGCTAAGTTTTTCTAATTTTAGTAGAGATGTGAGTCTCACTTGTGCTCAGGCTGGTCTCAGAACTCCTAAACTCAAGCAGTCCTCCCACCTCAGCCTCCCCATAGTGTTAGGATTACAGGTGTGAGCCACCATGCCCAGCCTGACATTCTCAGTTTTTAATTCTGCAAAGGACACAGTAGATTTTTCCTTGAGGGAAACCTTTGGGAAGCTTGCCAGTTTCCAAATTCACAAGTACCACGCTTTGTGAGGTTACAGTCAAGTACACAACCACAAAAACAAGCAGCAAGGCAGATGCCGGGCAGTCAGCTGTGCTCACTTACTACACAAAGAGTTTGCACTTGCCAGCCTCCATTCAAGACTGTGCCTCAGCAAAATTACACACTACAATATGTCATAGGTTTTTAGGGTTGCCTGTCCCTAACAAGCTGATGTCATATTATTGAAACCCATAAATGCTAAGGACATACAATATCTGTCCTTCATTGTTACATATCAAATCCTTGTTTTCACCACTATTGTATCAGGGTTGATGCCAACCACATTCTTTTAGTTATAAGCTAACCAAGTTGAAAGGTTGGCTTTATGTCCATTTCCAAGTCAGAAATGGTAACAATGACCCAATTTTTTGGTGCTTAGTTCCTGGTTACTTTACAATGTCAGTGTAAATGAACTGCTGGCTTGAAAGAACTTCATTGGATCACATCTAAAATTTACCACCAGCAGAAAAGCAGAAAGCCATCCAGACTCACCTCAAATGTGTCCGCCAGCCAGTGGATGTCTGTGATTACCTTCCTGTGCCCGTTTTCGATGGAAGAGACAGCGCAGTGTCTGATATACGTTGCTTCTTTGTTACTGTCTGGTTCAAGGAGAAACATAGGCTGAAAAATTTTTAAAGAAAGTTACAAGTTAATTTCATAGAGCTGATGAATCAACTTCTACTTTACTCATCCTTCCAACCAAAATCAGTAACTTGGAGATATACCAGTTCAAGAAAAAACATAAATTAACGTCTGGGCGGTGCCTGTGGCTCAAAGGAGTAGGGCGCCGGCTCCATATGCCGGAGGTGGTGGGTTCAAACCCATCCCCAGCCAAAAAAACCCCCATAAGTTAATGTCTCTATAAACCACGTATGTAGGAAATATCTACTTTCCCCTTTAGTTTAAGATTTTATCTCTGCGTTGGACAAGGACGTATTATTGACCTACTCCCTAGAGAATCCTTGAGATATCTTATTCTTTTTTTTTTTTTTTAATTAAATCATAGCTGTGTACGTTAATGCAGCCATGGGGTACAATGTGCTGCTTTTATATACAATTTGAAATATTTTCACCAAACTGGTTAACATAGCCTTCATGGCATTTTCTTAGTTATTGTGTTCAGACATTTATATTCTACATTTAGA